CTGCAGCTGCTTGCGATTTCGGGCGATGATTCGAACTTGCAGTACTGGGAGGTGCTGGTGAGTCAGATATATGGGGGGCCATAGTGTTTTTTTTTTTGTTCAGTCTTGTGCATACATGTTGGCCCGTCTATGTACTTTGTATTTGTACAATAATTATATTGTACCCAGATAAATGGGCTTCGATCGTTTACGTATGGCTCTTCCTAATTGAGCGTGTGAGCGTAGTTGCTTCGTTCGTGTTTGCTTTACATAATTCTGTTCGAGACCACTAACAAAGAGACAGGTCACCTGGCCGCACCGTCGGTGAGTCAGCGCAACAGTCAGCGCTACTCATCGCTCGGCAGATAGCAGAGAAATTGTGTCGGCATCGCCGTGGCGAAGCCCGCGACTGTCCTTGATCGGTAACGAAATTGCAAGTTCATCAGACTTTTGACATTTTGATTGTGGCGTTGTACTAAGCCGAAAAACACCTAAAAACACCTAAAAACGCCGAAACTCACAACGCCGACAATGTTTGAAAAAAATCTCATAACGTCTCCCCCAGGTTTTTTTTATCATTGCATTAGGGTTTTCAGAACATTTCACTGGGGGTAAGATTATTTTTTTGGTAGGTGTTTTTTTTTTGTTTTGGCGTTAATTGTCGACAATGCAAAAAGGCCGAAAAACGCCGAAAACGTCACAACTAATTTGTCAAATGGCTGATGTTCAGCGTTCTTGATTTATAAGGAAACCGAAGTTCAGTATCTTGATCTGTAAGGAAAACCAAGTTTAACGTCACATTTAGGGCAGTGCGCCGTGCCCGTCGCGCCGGTTCTACGGGTTCCGTGCGACGGGTAGCCGACCCGTTCCGTCGGGCTCTTCGACTGCGTTTTTGACGGCCGTGCCCGTCGACGGGTCGACGGGTCCAGAAAACACGCCATACTCGGCCATATGCGATGTGTAAGCCTTTTTGCACGGCATGTTTCATGCACAGGTAAGCCCAATACACAATTTAGGCTACACCTTATGAACTTACTCAGTAGTTTGAGTTGTCGAAATGACGGCCGTCGCGTGACGGACCGTTCTCGTCCATACATAATACCGGTGTTCATCCGATGCGAACGCGTCTTCGTTTCCAACGGAGGTGGTCGTAATTCAGTAATTCCCGTCCCAATGCTGATCGGCATTTCGATTTATGCCCTTAAAACCAGGTCGAGTGACCAAGCGGACCACATGACCTGCATTAAAGCCGACATAAATTGAACGGTCTATTAGCAACTCAACCTCTCCCTCTCAATAATGACTATTACTCAAAACGCATCTGACCCTCTCGTCGTGGTGGTTGGTGTAACAGGCAACCAGGGCGGTAGCGTCGCCAAAGCCCTGGCGGAGTCCGACAACCGTATCGCATCCGCGGTCTCACTCGCGACGTGACAAAATCAGCTGCGCGCGAGTTTGCCGCGCAGGGTGTCGAGATGGTCAGCATTTCGCTCAGTGCGGATAATGCGGATGCGGTCAAGAAGGTTTTCGAGGGAGCCAATGTCGTTTTTGTTGGTGGGCCGTTTTCGCATAGCATGCACAAACTCATTAGCACGCCAGGTCGTGACGAATTATTGGGAGCACCTCGACGTGAAGAGAGTATGTGCTCAAAATTATCACGCGAAGATATTTCCATTTGACACGAGAATATTCGCCCATAGGAAGTTGCCGAGGCGAAGATGCTGATTGACGTTGCGAAAGCAGTCGGAGTTGGCCGGTTTATTTGGTCTGGCCTCGAGTCTGTGATCAAGGTTTCGAACGGAAAGTACTCGAATGTTCACTTCTTCAATGGCAAAGGGGAGATTACAGAGTATGGGCGTAACTCTGGGATCCCGTTCATTAATGTCCAGGCTGGGTGGTACGCGTCGAACTTCTATAAGCTCGATGCAATGAAACCCAAGCGCTTGGCGGACGGGACGTACAAGCTCTCCTTGCCAGTGGGGCCAAACACCATCCTGCCAGTGATAGATACGGCGCACGACTACGGCCTCTTCGTGCGCAAAGCGATAGAGTCCCCTGAATTTGGCCCCGGTTCCGAAATTCTTACCTCCGGAGAAGTTATTTCTATCGGGGACATGGTTTCGCAGCTCGCCGAGAGTGAGTGTCTGCGAAGCTTCTTTCAGCCGGCTGCAGACTGATTTATCTGTCAAGTCACTGGAAAGAAAATTGTGTTTGCTTCGATCAGTGACGCGGACTTCATAAAGGCCACGGGCTTCCCCCACAGCGTCGCGCTGGAAGTCCTCGAGAGTATGAAATACTACGAAGAATGTGGATGTGCGTACATGTTACCCGGTCTCGTGTCTTCCAAAAATAATTTTCGTGGGTTTGCAGATTACGCTGGGAAAGACACTGCGCCAAGCCGTCGGTATCTCGCCCGGTCCACGCGCACCTGGGCCGAGTATGTTAAACTACAGCTGCAGCCAGGTGGACTAACATTCGAGTGAAACGGGAGCGAGCGACGAGAAGGGTGTACATTCCAGTAGTGTATATTGCTCTGCGTCCCCTCAAAGGAGGGATGAATCTGAAAGAAATTATGCACGGCGGCCGGCTTGGTCTGAAAAATGTTGGCAGCGTGGGCATGAGAAATGAGCCTTGTTTTGGTGCCAGTATCGACCGCAAAGTGAGTACTAGAATGCAGGTAAACGCGCACCGCAGCTAGTAATTGAAGTTGGGCCAAACTTACTAAGCGTTGGTTGTATTCCATTACCGAGCCCACATCCAACCTCCTATCAATGATTCATACTGGTTCGGATGCGGATGTTTTTTCTGTGTGCCTCGATGTACGTTCTGGGAAGACCTTGCTTTACGCTTCGATTCCCGGGGCGGCACTATCTTCCTCCAATTAGGTTCTCTCAGGTCGTCGTCGTCGCCGCCGCATGGGGTCTTTGGATCCAGTGCGTCTTGGAGAATTTTACAGATGCTATACTGATTCACGAGTAGCACTGGGAGGCACGTCTAGTCCCAAATACGCTGTGTGCCCACGCGTCGGTTCTGGTATGTGTCCGCGGCGTTGCTTATATGTCTGGGATAAAATGCGTATCTGGCATTCAGGTTTTTGATTGGCGATGCACGCTTGACCAGGAGGTGCGTGTCGTAACTTGGACGACCTTTGTGATGAATTCTTTCATGCAGATTTTATACATATGACCGCAGCCCTGGTCAATTAGCACCATCCTATTCGTGCTGCAGAGAATTTGGACAGAAAAAAAAAGGAATGACCCAGCCCCAAGTTGAACGGGGGTCTCCTACATATTATGTAGGTGTGACCACTGGGTCTCTGTGTGCTTTTGGCTGGGCTTGATTACTCCAAGGTTTTTTGTGCCTTTATTGCTCGACCGCATGTCTGGGAACCGACAAATTGCATGGGTGCAGATTGAACATTGCTCACTGGACCGAACGAGGATGTTTTGGATAATCTGATACTGCAGTAAAGTCTCCCTCGGTAGAAAAGAAAAAAACTCGCATGAAACAGTTGAATGACCCAGCCCCGAGTTGTACAATTTTGTGAGCATTACACCATTGGATCTTATGGGCTTTGGCTGGTGTTGAATATATCTGACTGATTTTCTCTTCGGAATTCATGAGAATGTGGCTGAAAGAAGAAAGAGTGACCCAGCCCCGGGTCAAACGGGGACCTGCGGAATCCTCTCAAACTTCCAATCCTGTGCAGACATGCTAAACATTGCACCACTGGGTATTTTGGTGCCTTCACCAGGGTTGGGTTGGTTAGTGGGTTGTTGTGAGCCTCGGACCAAAGCCTCAGAAAAGAAAACAAGAAAAAAGACACCCATGAGGAATGACCCAGCCCCGAGTCGAACGAGGATCTCCTGAAGTAATATGTTCTTTGCAGTACAATTAATTTTTGCAGGTATGCTGACGTTGCACCGCTGGGTCTTGTTGTCCTTTAGCCGGCATTGAATACATCTGAAAGATTTTGTCTTTGGGTTTAACGAGAAATAAATTGAACATGAATGAAAAAAAAATGGATAGATCCAGCACCGAGTTGAACGGGGATCTCCTGTAGGACATACTTAGTAATTTCGCAAGTTGTGTAGGTGTGCTATAGATCTGACTCATTTTCTCTTTGGCTGTCATGAGAAACAAATTGAACAGAGATGAAAATAAATAAAAGGATTGACCCAGCCTCTAGTTGAACGGGGGTCTCCTGATGAAGAATGAGTTGAATACCAGCTAGTAGGTGCAAGTGTGCTGAATGTTGCCCCACTGGGTCTCTTCATCCTTTCAGCTGGCTCTGAGTATATCGGACTGATTTCCTCTTTCCCGAACAGAAACAAATTGAAGAGTGTGAAACCCAGCCCCGAGTCGAACGGGGATCTCCTACAGAACCTTCAAGCAGGATTAAGATTATGCAGGTGTGCTGGACATTGCACCACTAGGTCTTTTTGTGCTTTGGCTGCCTTTGAATAGATCTGCATCATTTTGTCTTCAGATTTCACAAGAAACAAATTGAATGCGGATGATGGAACAAAAACATGAGCCAGCACCGGGATCTCCTGCAGAATAAGCTCACTCTTGGTTGACACAATTTGTGCACGTTGCACCACTAGGTCTTGTTGTCCTTCAGTTGGGTTTGAGTATATCGGACTGATTTTGTCTTCGGGGTGAACGTGGGAAAGAAATAAAAATAAAAGTTGTATGACCCAGCCCCGAGTTGAACGGGGATCTCTTACATAAGACTGTTTGGGACTTTCTAAGGTCTAGCAGTGTGTTACCAATTACACCACTGAGTCATTTAAAGGTTCTTTGTGGGGCAGGTGAGCAGGCTATCAGTGTTGTGTGTAAGGAAGTCAAGTTGAACATCGAGCATCGGACTAGTAGGATCTCCTGCATGCTACTAGCCTTATAGACTGACATACTCTTGAATCATGTTGTTTTGGAAAAAAAGGTGATCAAGTGGCAAAAAAATACGAAAAGAAAAAGAGTTTAAGTTTAAATGCAAAAACAGCTGCCACAAGATTGAATGACCCAGCCCCGAGTTGAACGGGGATCTCCTGCAGAACAAGTATGAGAAAGAATAAATTGTGTAGGTGTGCTGACCATTGCACCACTGGGTCTTGTTGTCCTTCAGTTGGCTTTGAATAGATTTGAAAGATTTTGTTTCACGCGAATATGGGTGAATGTGGGAAAAAACGAAACAAAAATTGTATGACCCAGCCCCGAGTCGAACGGGGATCTCTTGCTTGAAACACTGCGACCCTTCCAAGTGTAGCAAGTGTGTTACTGGCTACACCACTGAGTCATTTAAAGGTTCTTTATGGGGGAGGTGAGCTGGCTATCAGCGTTGCGTGCGAGGAAGGCAAGTTGAACATCGGACAAGGATGTCCTGCATACCAGCAGCCTTATAGACTGATACACGCTCGAATCATGTTGTTGTGGAAATAATACGATCAAGTGGTAAAAAAAAATGCAGCCACGCAATCCTCCCCGGCCCCTGCTAAAAAAAAAGCTAAAAAGAAAATTCATCCACAGATATATGACCCAGCCCCGAATCGAACAGGGAGCTCCTGCAGAACCTCAAAATTCCGACCAGACTAAATTGTGCAAACGTGCTGGACATTGCACCACTGGGTCCTCTTGTCCTTTTAACTGACTTTGAATACATTCCACTGATTTGACACACTCCGGATTTCACGAGAAACAAGATGAATATAAAAGAGGTAAAAACAAAAAGGACCAAGCTCCGACTTGAGCGGGATATCTCTTGTGGTGAAATCGCACTCGCCAAGTTGACTTTAAGCAAGTGTGTTCATGCCGGTTATACCACTGAATAATTTAAAGGTTCTTTTGCGGGGGGAAGGTAAGTAGTGTTATTTGGTGTAGGAATTTATTATCAAGTTGAGACGAGGATCTCTGCCCTGCATAGTACTGACTTTATAGATTGATACACTCTTGATTCCTGAAGCTGTTGTGGAAAAATTCAATCATGTATTAGTTTTTTTTTAAAGACGAGAAAAAGAAGCTAGGCCGACGCTAATGACCCAACCCCGAGTCGAACGAGGGTCTCCCGCGGAAACTAAGACACATTATAATATGCAGATATGCTGCCCGTTGCACCACTGGGTCGTTTCAAGCTCTTAGTTACAATGCTCTTAGCTACAATGCAAATTGAACTCGTGCAGCCAGCCATCACCCCAAACACCCGTAACCCCATTTGAAACTCCGCCATCTATCTCCGCTCCAAAAACTCTCCCTTGACCACCATGAGTTCCTCTGTGCCCATTTCCTCGTCGTCCTCTGGCCTCACTGCGCCGACGCCGCAAAATACGCCTATGACGCACGCGCCCATCTCTGCGGGGCTCTCCCGGCCCACAGTCGCGGACATCTCCGAAGAGCCCGAGGTGGGCGACGAGCTCAGCGCGCTGGGGGCAGACGGGATGCAGAGCGCGATGCTGGGGATGGTGCAGGGGAAGCTTGCGGGGCTTCTGGGGCGCAGCTCGGGGTACATCGAGAGCCTGCCCACCGTGGTGAAGCGCCGCGTGGAGGGCCTCAAGGGCGTGCAGGTCCAGCAGACGGATCTACAGAATCAGTACAAGCGCGAGTGTCTTGAGCTGGAGCGTAAGGTGGGTGTCGAGTTCTTTTTTCTCTGGGGTTTTTTGGCGCCCTGAGTGGCAAGGCCTCGTGGGGCGGGCGTGGGGCGTTTCTGGGTGCGGGGTGCGTCTGGGGGACGAGTGGGGCTTTGGGGAAGTACGCGATGGTCGCGATGGGCGGGGCGCATGCGCTCCTCGAAAAAAGTCGTCCCATCCGCGTCGGCTCCGACTTTTCTGCCTTTGTCATATCCCCCCTAATTTTTTTATTATCCTACTAACTTACCCGCCACAGTATCTCGAACTCCAAAAACCACTCTACGCGCGCCGCACCGCCATCATCTCCGGCGCCTCACCCGTCACGGACGAGGTTCGTGTCCCTTCTTTTTTTTGACCTTCATCGATTGCGATCTGACTTCTTTTTGTTATTCACACAGGAAGTCGCCGCCGGCGAAGCACAATCGCTCAAGGACGACGAGGACTACGTCCCGCTCTCATCCGCCACCGACGGTGCGTTGCCCTCACTCCCTTACGTCCCCATCCCCATCCCACGTGCTGATTTCAATTCAGACGCCGCAGACGCAGACGCCCCCGCGCCTAACGGCATCCCCGACTTCTGGCTCACCGCGCCGCGCAACCACCCGGGTCTCGCCGAACTCATCACGGAGCGCGACGCCGAGGCGCTCGCGTTCCTCGAGGACGTCACCCTCGCGTACCTGCCTGTGGGGGATAAGGTGCCTTTCTCTTTCTTATCCTTCACTCCTCCTTTTTCTTCACGTTCCACAACTAACCCTCTCCCTCCTCTTAGTCCGCCCCCAAATCGGATCCCCCAGCCGCCGACGACTATACCGGCAAACCGGGCTTCACGCTCTCCTTCCACTTCAGCGCCGCGAACCCGTTCTTCGACAACCGCGTGCTGACGAAGACGTACATCTACCAGGAAGAGGTGGGCTATAGGTGGGTCTTTTTGTGTTTTTTTATCCCATTTTATTCGACGATTGGTCTGGATTCGTTTCTGCGCGGGGCTTTTTTTTTTTGGTGGGAGCCCGTTAGAGCGGGGCGCCGCGGCGTTGGTGTCTTGGTGTCTGTCACGCCTTTTCTCTTTCCTTCGCGTTTGCGTTTTTTCTCTCTCTTCTTGGGGGAGTCCGCCGCCGTCCGTGGTGCTCTTTCCTGCCGGGGCGTATCCGTCCGCTGCGCGGATTCCCGCCTCGCCTTTTTGGTTGCCCTACGGGTACGGGTACGGGTACGGGTCCCACGCGCGCGATGGCGATGATGCGATCCTACACGTTGCCCATTCGGGCGGCGGCTAGGCGCAACATTGGGGGCTCGTCGGACGCTACGCGTCCCATCGCAGAGCCATGTCACCACCCAACCTTCCGCGTTCTGCTCGCCTTTTTTTCTTTTCTTGTCTTTTGGGGGGGTTGTCGTTTCTTTTCTCCAGGAGGCGCGGTGGGATGCATGCCAACATGTGGCGTGGGCTGCCGCGCAGGTTTGCAGTTGCTCCAGCGCGACAAAGAAAGCTCGCGTGTAGTAACTTAGTTGTATTAGTAGGAATGTATGCTAGTTTGATGCTCCATGTGCCGTTTATAACTTTATTGCAATTGCTCTAAGAGTAATTTAATTGGGAAGCCATTTACTTTTCCCACTTTGCTGTGCAAGAATGTTCCCGGTTTTTCGAGGGAGCAGTGGAATATAATTGCTTGAAGTATGAACACTGCGCAGAAAACTAAACACGGATGGTCACAATCTCGTCCCACGAAAGAAAGAAAACGCCAGAAATTATAATTACAGTGAATCTAAATGGCGGCAAGTCCGACTGGAAGGAATCGATGCTACCTTGGATCTCCTGTAGTAATGTTTCTCACAATGCAATTTGCGCAGGTATGCAGGTCATTGCGCTAATGGGTCTTCTTGTCCTTTAAGCTGGTATCAAATACATTTGACTGATTTGTCTTCACATCCGCGTTAGAATGCTCGGTTCTTGACTTTTGACCGCCGAATCACCGAGTGCTACTCGTAGCTCGGCGCAGCGGTAAAGACTGCGCAGGCCCTTGGACTGCGCCGCGATGGTTCCAGTATGGTATGTCCGTGTGCTTCACCTCCAGCTCGTGTTTTAGACAAAAAGGCAGAACATGGAGCCTGCTCTTGTCGAGTATAGACGGTGTATTTAGCAAGTAGAATTTTTCTATCTTCGATGCCCACTAACATCTCATCTAGGTCGTATTTGTACTACGCAGACAGATCCTACGTGTTGGTCCTCGGGAGGCCTAACTCAATCCAGGATAACTACACATCCACCCTCCCTCCATCCAATATAGACGACGAGCCTTCTCCCGCCCATATGCGGAGCCCTCTTCCTCTATCAACCCCCACACGCATGACCTACGTGATCCTGCGACACCAGCTCGCAGCCATCATCGGCCGCATGGTGCACCACCTCCAGCAGCTGCGCACCACCTGCCACTACTCGGAGGTCGTGGCCCTCGACGACGAGCTGCAGCTGCTTGCGATTTCGGGCGATGATTCGAACTTGCAGTACTGGGAGGTGCTGGTGAGTCAGATATATGGGGGGCCGTAGTGTTTTTTTTTTTTGTTCAGTCTTGTGCATACGTGTTGGCCCGTCTATGTACTTTGTATTTGTACAATAATTATATTGTACCCAGATAAATGGGCTTCGATCGTTTACGTATGGCTCTTCCTAATTGAGCGTGTGAGCGTAGTTGCTTCGTTCGTGTTTGCTTTATATAATTCTGTTCGAGACCACTAACAAAGAGACAGGTCACCTGGCCGCACCGTCGGTGAGTCAGCGCAACAGTCAGCGCTACTCATCGCTCGGCAGATAGCAGAGAAATTGTGTCGGCATCGCCGTGGCGAAGCCCGCGACTGTCCTTGATCGGTAACGAAATTGCAAGTTCATCAGACTTTTGACATTTTGATTGTGGCGTTGTACTAAGCCGAAAAACACCTAAAAACACCTAAAAACGCCGAAACTCACAACGCCGACAATGATTGAAAAAAATCTCAAAACGTCTCCCCCAGGTTTTTTTTATCATTGCATTAGGGTTTTCAGAACATTTCACTGGGGGTAAGATTATTTTTTTGGCAGGTGTTTTTGTTTTGTTTTGGCGTTAATTGTCGACAATGCGAAAACGCCGAAAACGCCGAAACGTCACAACTAATTTGTCAAATGGCTGATGTTCAGCGTTCTTGATTTATAAGGAAACCGAAGTTCAGTATCTTGATCTGTAAGGAAAACCAAGTTTAACGTCACACTTAGGGCAGTGCGCCGTGCCCGTCGCGCCGGTTCTACGGGTTCCGTGCGACGGGTAGCCGACCCGTTCCGTCGGGCTCTTCGACTGCGTTTTTGACGGCCGTGCCCGTCGACGGGTCGACGGGTCCAGAAAACACGCCATACTCGGCCATATGCGATGTGTAAGCCTTTTTGCACGGCATGTTTCATGCACAGGTAAGCCCAATACACAGTTTAGGCTACACCTTATGAACTTACTCAGTAGTTTGAGTTGTCGAAATGACGGCCATCGCGTGACGGACCGTTCCCGTCCATACATAATACCGGTGTTCATCCGATGCGAACGCGTCTTCGTTTCCAACGGAGGTGGTCGTAATTCAGTAATTCCCGTCCCAATGCTGATCGGCATTTCGATTTATGCCCTTAAAACCAGGTCGAGTGACCAAGCGGACCACATGACCTGCATTAAAGCCGACATAAATTGAACGTCTATGGAACATCTATTAGCAACTCAACCTCTCCCTCTCAATAATGACTATTACTCAAAACGCATCTGACCCTCTCGTCGTGGTGGTTGGTGTAACAGGCAACCAGGGCGGTAGCGTCGTCAAAGCCCTGGCGGAGTCCGACAAACCGTATCGCATCCACGGTCTCACTCGCGACGTGACAAAACTAGCTGCGCGCGAGTTTGCCGCGCAGGGTGTCGAGATGGTCAGCATTTCGCTCAGTGCGGATAATGCGGATGCGGTCAAGAAGGTTTTCGAGGGAGCCAATGTCGTTTTTGTTGGTGGGCCGTTTTCGCATAGCATGCACGAACTCATTAGCCCGCCAGGTCGTGACGAATTATTGGGAGCACCTCGACGTGAAGAGAGTATGTGCTCAAAATTATCACGCGAAGATATTTCCATTTGACACGAGAATATTCGCCCATAGGAAGTTGCCGAGGCGAAGATGCTGATTGACGTTGCGAAAGCAGTCGGAGTTGGCCGGTTTATTTGGTCTGGCCTCGAGTCTGTGATCAAGGTTTCGAACGGAAAGTACTCGAATGTTCACTTCTTCAATGGCAAAGGGGAGATTACAGAGTATGGGCGTAACTCTGGGATCCCATTCATTAATGTCCAGTCTGGGTGGTACGCGTCGAACTTCTATAAGCTCGATGCAATGAAACCCAAGCGCTTGGCGGACGGGACGTACAAGCTCTCCTTGCCAGTGGGGCCAAACACCATCCTGCCAGTGATAGATACGGCGCACGACTACGGCCTCTTCGTGCGCGAAGCGATAGAGTCTCCTGAATTTGGCCCTGGTTCCGAAATTCTTACCTCCGGAGAAGTTATTTCTATCGGGGACATGGTTTCACAGCTCGCCGAGAGTGAGTGTCTGCGAAGCTTCTTTCAGCCGGCTGCAGACTGATTTATCTGTCAAGTCACTGGAAAGAAAATTGTGTTTGCTTCGATCAGTGACGCGGACTTCATAAAGGCCACGGGCTTCCCTCACAGCGTCGCGCTGGAAGTCCTCGAGAGTATGAAATACTACGAAGAATGTGGATGTGCGTACATGTTACCCGGTCTCGTGTCTTCCAAAAATAATTTTCGTGGGTTTGCAGATTACGCTGGGAAAGACACTGCGCCAAGCCGCCGGTATCTCGGCCGGCCCACGCGCACCTGGGCCGAGTATGTTAAACTACAGCTGCAGCCAGGTGGACTAACATTCGAGTGAAACGGGAGCGAGCGACGAGAGGGTTGTACATTCCAGTAGTGTATATTGCTCTGCGTCCCCTCAAAGGAGGGATGAATCTGAAAGAAATTATGCACGGCGGCCGGCTTGGTCTGAAAAATGTTGGCAGCGTGGGCATGAGAAATGAGCCTTGTTGTGGTGCCAGTATCGACCGCAAAGTGAGTGCTAGAATGCAGGTAAACCCGCATCGCAGCTAGTAATTGAAGTTGGGCCAAAATTACTAAGCGTTGTATTCCATTACCGAGCCCACATCAAACCTCCTATCAATGATTCATACTGGTTCGGACGGATGTTTTTTCTGTGTGCCTCGATGTACATTCTGGGAAGACCTTGCTTTACGCTTTGATGCCCGGAGCGGCACTATCTTCCTCCAATTAGGTTCTCTCAGGTCGTCGTCATCGCCGCTGCATGGGGTCTTTGGATCCAGTGGGTCTTGGAGAATTTTACAGATGTTATACTGATTCATGAGTAGCACTGGGAGGCACGTCTAGTCCCAAATACGCTGTGTGCCCACGCGTCGGTTCTGGTATGTGTCCGCGGCGTTGCTTATATGTCTGGGATAAAATGCGTATCTGGCATTCAGGTTTTTGATTGGCTATGCACGCTTGACCAGGAGGTGCGCGTCGTAACTTGGACGACCTTTGGGATGAATTCTTTCATGCAGATTTTATACATATGACCGCAGCCCTGGTCAATTAGCACCATCCTATTCGTGCTGCAGAGAATTTGGACAGAAAAAAAAAGGAATGACCCAGCCCCAAGTTGAACGGGGGTCTCCTACATATTATGTAAGTGTGACCACTGGGTCTCTGTGTGCTTTTGGCTGGGCTTGATTACCCCAGGGTTTTTTGTGCCTTTATTGCTCGACCGCATGTCTGGGAGCCGACAAATTGCATGGGTGCAGATTGAACATTGCTCACTGGACTGAACGAGGATGTTTTGGATAATCTGATACTGCAGTAAAGTCTCCCTCGGTAGAAAAGAAAAAAAATCGCATGACAGTTGAATGACCCAGCCCCAACTTGTACAATTTTGTGAGCATTACACCATTGGATCTTATGGGCTTTGGCTGGTGTTGAATAGATCTGACTGATTTTCTCTTCGGAATTCATGAGAATGTGGCTGAAAGAAGAAAGAGTGACCCAGCCCCGGGTCAAACGGGGACCTGCGGAATCCTCTCAAACTTCCAATCCTGTGCAGACATGCTAAACATTGCACCACTGGGTCTTTTGGTGCCTTCACCTGGGTTGGGTTGGTTAGTGGGTTGTTGTGAGCCTCGGACCAAAGCCTCAGAAAAGAAAACAAGAAAAAAGACACCCATGAGGAATGACCCAGCCCCGAGTCGAACAAGGATCTCCTGAAGTAATATGTTCTTTGCAGTACAGTTAATTTTTGCAGGTATGCTGACGTTGCACCGCTGGGTCTTGTTGTCCTTTAGCCGGCATTGAATGCATCTGAAAGATTTTGTCTTTGGGTTTAACGATAATGAAAAAAAATGGATAGACCCAGCACCGAGTTGAACGGGGATCTCCTGTAGGACATACTTAGTAATTTCGCAAGTTGTGTAGGTGTGCTAGGCATTGCACCACTAGGTATTTTTGTGCCTCGGCTGATGTCGAATAGATCTGACTCATTTTCTCTTTGGCTGTCATGAGAAACAAATTGAACAGAGATGAAAATAAATAAAAGGATTGACCCAGCCTCGAGTTGAACGGGGGTCTCCTGATGAAGAATGAATTGAATACCCGCTAGTAGGTGCAAGTGTGCTGAATGTTGCACCACTGGGTCTCTTCATCCTTTCAGCTGGCTCTGAGTATATCGGACTGATTTCCTCTTTCCCGAACAGAAACAAATTGAAGAATGTGAAACCCAGCCCCGAGTCGAACGGAGATCTCCTACAGAACCTTCAAGCAGGATTAAGATTATGCAGGTGTGCTGGACATTGCACCACTAGGTCTTTTTGTGCTTTGGCTGCCTTTGAATAGATCTGCATCATTTTGTCTTCAGATTTCACAAGAAACAAATTGAACACGGATGATGGAACAAAAAACATGACCCAGCACCGGGATCTCCTGCAGAATAAGCTCATTCTTGGTTGACACAATTTGTGCACGTTGCACCACTAGGTCTTGTTGTCCTTCAGCTGGTGTTGAATACATCTGAATGACTTTGTCTTCGGGTTTAACGAGAAACAAAGTTGAACGTGGGAACAAAATAAAAATAAAAATTGTATGGCCCAGCCCCGAGTCAAACGGGGATCTCTTGCTTGAAATAATGCCCACTGGAATTTTCAAAGTTTAGCAAGTGTGTTACTGGCTACACCACTGTGTCATTTATAAGTTCTTTATGGGGCAAGTGAGCTGGCTATCAGTGTTGTGTGTAAGGAAGGCAAGCTGAACATCGGACAAGGATGGCCTGCATACCACCAGCCTTATAGACTGATACACACTCGAATCATGTTGTTTTAGGAAAAAAGGTGATCAAGTGGTAAAAAAATACCAAAAAAAAAGAGTTTAAATTTAAATGCCAAAAGAACAATAATGACAAACAACCCAGCCCCGAGTTGAACCGGGAACTCCTGCAGAATGACTTACGTGCAGCCATTAAATTGTACAGGTGTGTTGAACATTACACCACTGGGTCTTGTTGTCCCTTAGTTGGCATTGAATACATCTAAAAGATTTTGTCTTCAGGTTGAATGTGGGAACAAAACAAAACAAAAATTGTATGACCCAGCCCCGAGTCGAACGGGGATCTCTTGCTTGAAATACTTCGACCCTTCCAAGTGTAGCAAGTGTGTTACTGGCTACACCACTGAGTCATTTAAAGGTTCTTTATGGGGCAAGCAGCAAGCTGGCTATCAGTGTTGTGTGTAAGGAAGTCAAGTTGAACATCGAGCATCGGACTAGTAGGATCTCCTGCATGCTACTAGCCTTATAGACTGACATACTCTTGAATCATGTTGTTTTGGAAAAAAAGGTGATCAAGTGGCAAAAAAATACGAAAAGAAAAAGAGTTTAAGTTTAAATGCAAAAACAGCTGCCACAAGATTGAATGACCCAGCCCCGAGTTCAACGGGGATCTCCTGCAGAACAAGTATGAGAAAGAATAAATTGTGTAGGTGTGCTGACCATTGCACCACTGGGTCTTGTTGTCCTTCAGTTGGCTTTGAATAGATTTGAAAGATTTTGTTTCACGCGAATATGGGTGAATGTGGGAAAAAACGAAACAAAAATTGTATGACCCAGCCCCGAGTCGAACGGGGATCTCTTGCTTGAAACACTGCGACCCTTCCAAGTGTAGCAAGTGTGTTACTGGCTACACCACTGAGTCATTTAAAGGTTCTTTATGGGGGAGGTGAGCTGGCTATCAGTGTTGCGTGCGAGGAAGGCAAGTTGAACATCGGACAAGGATGTCCTGCATACCACCACCCTTATAGATTGATGCACGCTCGAATCATGTTGTTGTAGAAACAATATGATCAAGTGGTAAAAAAAATGCAACCAAGCAATCCTCCCCGGCCCCTGCTAAAAAAAAAGCTAAAAAGAAATTCATCCACAGATATATGACCCAGCCCCGAATCGAACAGGGAGCTCCTGCAGAACCTTGTTCCGGGGAGATATTAAATTGTGCAGACGTGCTGGACATTGCACCACTGGGTCCTCTTGTCCTTTCAACTACATTCGACTGATTTTGACACTTCGGATTTCACGAGAAACAAGATGAATATAAAAGAGGTAAAAACAAAAAGGACCAAGCTCCGACTTGAGCGGGATATCTCTTGTGGTGAAATCGTACTCGCCAAGTTGACTTTTAGCAAGTCCGGTTACACCACTGAGTCATTTAAAGGTTCTTTTGCAGGGGGAAGGTAGTGTTATTTGGTGTAGGGAAATTATTATCAAGTTGAACATCGGACGAGGATCTCTGTCCTGCATACTACTAGTCTTATAGATTGGTACAGTCTTGATTCAATGAAGCTGTTGTGGAAAATTCAATTTTATTTAATAGTTTATAAAAAAAAAGTGGAAACAATAGAAGAATGGCCCAACCCCGAGTCGAACGGGGGTCCCCTGCAAAAGATTCAACATTTCTTATTTCTTATAATATACAGGTGTGCTAGCCGTTGCACCACTGGGTCGTTCTGCAATCTTAGTTACAATGCAAATTGAACTCGTGCAGCCAGCCATCACCCCAAACACCGGCAACCCCATTTGAAACTCCGCCATCTATCTCCGCTCCAAAAACTCTCCCTTGACCACCATGAGTTCCTCTGTGCCCATTTCGTCGTCGTCCTCTGGCCTCACCGCGCCGACGCCGCAAAACACGCCTATGACGCACGCGCCCATTTCTGCGGGGCTCTCGCGGCCCACAGTCCCGGACATCTCCGAAGAGCCCGAGGTGGGCGACGAGCTCAGCGCGCTGGGGGCAGACGGGATGCAGAGTGCGATGCTGGGGATGGTGCAGGGGAAGCTCGCGGGGCTGCTAGGGCGCAGCTCGGGGTACATCGAGAGCCTGCCCACCGTGGTGAAGCGCCGCGTGGAGGGCCTCAAGGGTGTGCAGGTCCAGCAGACGGATCTACAGAATCAGTACAAGCGCGAGTGTCTTGAACTGGAGCGTAAGGTGGGTGTCGAGTTCTCTTTTTCTCTGAGGTTTTTTTGCGCCCCGAGTGGCAGGGCCTCGTGGGGCGGTGTGGGGCGTTTCTGGGTGCGGGGTGCGTCTGGGGGACGAGTGGAGCTTTGGGGAAGTATGCGATGGTCGCGATGGGCGGGGCGCGTGCGATCCTCGAAAAAAGTCGTCCCCTCCGCGTCGGCTCCGACTTTTTTCTGCCTTTGTCATATCCCCCCCAAAATTTTTATTATCCAATTAACTTACCCGCAACAGTACCTCGAACTCCAAAAACCGCTCTATGCGCGCCGCACCGCCATCATCTCCGGCGCCTCACCCGTCACGGACGAGGTTCGTGTCCCTTCTTTTTTTTGGCCTTCATCGATTGCGATCTGACTTCTTTTTTTTATTCACACAGGAAGTCGCCGCCGGCGAAGCACAATCGCTCAAGGACGACGAGGACTACGTCCCGCTCTCATCCGCCACCGACGGTGCGTTGTCCTCACTCCCTTACGTCCCCATCCCCATCCCACGTGCTGATTTCAATCCAGACGCCGCAGACGCAGATGCCCCCGCGCCTAACGGCATCCCCGACTTCTGGCTCACCGCGCTGCGCAACCACCCGGGTCTCGCCGAACTCATCACGGAGCGCGACGCCGAGGCGCTCGCGTTCCTCGAGGACGTCACGCTCGCGTACCTGCCTGTGGGGGATAAGGTGCCTTTCTTTTCTTATTCTTCACTCCTCCTTTTTCTTCACTTGTCCTTTTTGTTCCACAACTAACTCCCCTCCCCTCCCTTTACAGTCCGCCCCCAAATCGGATCCCCCAGCCGCCGACGACTATACCGGCAAACCGGGCTTCACGCTCTCCTTCCACTTCGGCGCCGCGAACCCGTTCTTCGACAACCGCGTGCTGACGAAGACGTACATCTACCAGGAGGAGGTGGGGTATAGGTGGGTGTTTTTGTGTTTTTTTATCCCATTTTATTCGACGATTGGTTTGGACTCGTTTCTGCGCGAGGCCTTTTTTTTTTTGTGTGGGGGCCCGGTGGAGCGAGGCGCGTTGGTGTCTGTTCACGCCTTTTCTCTTCTTTCCTTTGCGTTTGCGTTTTTTTCTTTCTTTTTTTTTTCTTTTTGGGAGAGTCCGCCTTCGTCCGTGGTGCTCTTTCCCGCGGGGGGCGTACCCACCCGTTGCGCGGATTCCCGCCTCGCCTTTTTGGCTGTCCTACAGGTAGGGGTCCCGCGCGCGCGATGGCGATGGCGCGATCCCGCACCTTGCCCATTTCGGCGATCCTACACGTTGCCCGTTCGGCCGGCGGCTAGGCGCAACACTGGGGGCTCGTCGGATGATCGCAGAGCCATGTCACCCAACCTTCCGCGCTCTGCTCGCTTTTTTTGGGAGGTTGGCGTTTCTTTTCTCCAGGAGGCGCGGTGGGTGCCAACATGCGGCGTGGTCCGCCGCGCAGGTCTTACAGGCTTGCGGGGGACTGGGCGCGGTCCCATTTTGTGCGCGGGATGCTCCGCGCTTCTTGAGATGCCTGAGATGCGCTTCTTGCGCCCGCGGTGCGCTCCTTACCGCGGGGACCTTTTCCTCGTTGCCCGGGCGACCGCCCCATGAGCGGCACCGCGCGCTTCCCATACAAGGGCGAGGTCGTGGTGCGGGCGATAGCGCGTTCCCGCTTTTTGGCCACCCGTGTCCCGAGCGCGCGACGGGGCCGCTTTGTGCTACGCAATTCCCCGCCCGCGGTGTACTGGTGTCCGTGGCGAGTGCGCTGCTTCCCGCCTCTATGAGGTGGACGGACGTCGTGGTGCGAGTTCCCCCCCCCCGTGGGCAATTCTTCGCGCTTTGCCTGGCGCCTTGCCTCTTGCGTATCGTAGACTTGTCCCCCTCCCTCCCCTCCCTTCTCCCTTCCCCACCCGCACCCACCCATACTCACTCGCTCTCCCAACAAACAGCGGCGACTTTGTGTACGACCGCGCCGTGGGGACCAAGATCGCGTGGAAGGAGGACAAGGACCTGACGACCGAGTGGGAGATCAAGAAGCAAAGGAATAAGAGTGAGTTGTCTGTCTAACTGTCTGGTTTTCGTGTTCTGCCCCTTTATACCTTGCCTTTATGTCTTCGTCATACTTCCCTTGCCCTCCACGCTTGCTCTGTGCCTCTCCTTCCCCCTCCCCATCCTCACACCCGCCCTATCCTCTGTTGACCGTCCCTTTCCCTCCACCGCGCTTCTTCCCCATCCCCCGTTTCCCGGCGCCGTCCCCTCTCCATACTCCCCATACTTATTTTCCCTCCCGCGCCCCTCCGCCCCTCCACCGCGCCACTTCCCCCCCTTCGTACCCCGCGCTCCCTATCCCCTTTTTTTCCCTCCGTCCCTTCCTCCCACCCTCTTTCTACCCACACCTACTAACTCGCTTCAACAGACACGAACCGCACGCGCCTCGTGCGCAAGTCGCACCCCACCGCGTCCTTCTTCAACTTCTTCTCGCCGCCGACGATGCCGAGCGACGAGGCGATCGAGGCGCAGGAGGTGGATCCGGAGGTGGGTGTTTTTCTTTTTCTTGTTTGGTTTGGGGTTTTTTCTCTTGGTATTGTTGGTCTTGCTCGATTTTTTGGTCTTGCTGCGCTTGTTGCTTTTCTTTTCGGGAGAGGAGGGGGGTTACTTGGGGGGCGGACCCCCGCGTCGGTGCGGAGGGGAGGGAAGGGGTGGTGTTGGGGCGCGCCGCTTTACAGGCACGGACATCGTCTGCTCATTGCTGTGGAGCGTTTTTTTGGAGGCGAGGCGTCCCGGAATGGAGCTGAGGGGGGACACGCCGCTTCACAGGCAGGCACGCGTATCGCCTCTGCGCGTTGCTGTGGAGCGTTTTTTGTTGGCGACGCGTCCCGGAATGAAGCTGAGGGAGCGTGTCCCGAGATTTGGGGAGTGTGAGGGGCCCCACGGGCGTGACCAGTCGGGCGAGCTGAGCGATTGTCGTCTTCTCTTGACGAGCTTACGCGTCGTGGTCGACGGCTAGCTGGTGGTGCTTGTGTGCGATGGCTACGGAGGACCTTCGCTGTGCGTTCCCGCGTGTCCCGCGGTATCCCATCCCGCCCTACTTTCGCTTTCTACCTCGACCCGTCCATCGGAACCCCTACTTTTGCTCACATCTTACTCCTCATTGTACCCGGACCACTTACTTGACTGCTTTCACTTACTTCCTACTTGACTCCTCCTACTCGCTTCAACTCATTGCACCCAAACCGCCGCTGACGTCTTTTTTTTTTTGCGTGCGCAGGAGCTGGAGGAGATCGAGGAGCGGCTGGAGGTGGACTATCAGGTTGGGGAGGATCTGAAGGAGAAGGTGCGTTTGCGTTTCTTCGTCTTTACTTCCCCATCTTCCGTCGCACCACTGCTTCCTACCACCGCATCTACACACTGTCCCCGTGCCCCCCCCCCCCGCGCTTTTCCTCCTCATCTCATCCTCGCTCGCCTTTCCTTCATCATCACCTCATCCTGCCTGTTCCCCCTTTCCGTCGCTACCCCATTACTCCCCTCGTTTACTTGCCTTCGGACCTCCACTCTGGCTACTACCCTTCCCTCACTCCAACTACCTACCCTTCCCGCTCCCTCCTTATAATCTCTTCTCCCGTCCGCTCACCCTCTTCTGATATCTCGATTTCCTCTCCTTCTCATCGCGTTCTTCGCCCTCCCTACGCCGCCCACATCCCCCACTGTTTCGTCTCACCCGCCTGCGTTCCCCATTCTCCTCCATCGCACCTTCCTCTTTTCCTCTCATCACCTCATCCTGCCTTCCCTTCCTCATTCTCATCTCCCCACCCCCGCTAACGCCCTTCCTCCCCCAGATCATCCCCCGCGCCATCGACTACTTCACGGGCAAGGCGCTCGAGTACGAGATGATCGACTCGGACGACGATGACGACGACGACGAGTTTGACGACCTGGACGACGACGAGGACGACGAGGGCGACGACTTTGACGATGTGCGTGATTGATTAGCTTCTGCGTGCTATGTGTTTTTCCTCTTTGCGTGTTGCGTGTTGCGTGTCTCACCTACGCTTGTACCCTATGCTATGCATAAACGACGTTGCGTTGTTTTCTTTGTGGATGAACGACCTTGCCTGCGCTTGTGATTCGTCTCTCGCACCTCTCCTCTCGCCCTCCCCGCCTTCCGCGACGGCACCCGACTCACGCTCCACAGGACTCGGACTCGGACGTCCCCGCGCGCCGCCGCGGCCCCCCCAAGCGCCCGCTCGCCGGCGCCCCCGGCAGCGCAGGCAACGTCAACCCCGAGGAGTGCAAGCAGCAGTGAGTAGATGTAGAAGCGCGTCGCCGCGCATAGAGAATATCCTTCCTCTTCCTCTCTCCCTCCTACATGCTTTCATACATCTACCTGCCTTCATACACCTGCCTGCCTTTATCCGCTGCTTTCCCCTACCCCCCAAAAGACAGACACTCCCGTGTTGCCCCTTCCTGATCAATGATGTACATGCCCTTCCCTATCCTTTTTTGAATGTGTTAGTTACGCTCCCCGACT